CACACTTTACCAGTGTCAGTTCCCCCTCCCCCCACCAGTGTTTCTTCCAGATTTTTTTTCTCCGGGGGGGGGGGGGGGAGCTCTTGAAATTTGGGGGGGGGGGGTAAACTTTTTTTCGGGGGGGGGGGGCGGACACTGTTAAAAGTATATATTTTTTATATATTTTCTATAGGCCTATAAATTATATAAATTTCATTTCGTTCGGGGGGGGGGGGGCGGTAGAGATGCCTGGAAAGAAACTCTGCCCCCACCTCGGAGATGAAGTCTGAAAGAAACACTGCCCTATCGGCATAAAAAATGGTATCTCAACATTAACCCTGCCCCAAATCCTAACAGCGATACCGGTATTTAATTACCATCGATACGATACTCAATCGCCGTGCCAAAACCTTACACATCAAGAAGGGGCTTCCCCCTTTTTTTTTCTTTTGTCATGAACGGTGTTGCTCGACTACTGGTTCGACAAAGGTTTGCATCACATAAACGCGTTTGAAATGCAGGTTATCTTCTACACTATTCTACAGGACAATGGCTATATGATCAGCTGAGTTTTCTTTCTTGGGGAACACGTCACGCTTTTTGAAACAAGTTTTACCCCCCCCCCCCCCCCCACCCCTTTCCGCACCGTCACAAAAAGGCAGACACACCTCATCCTTACCACCATCTAAAAATTGCATTCTTAAAAACAGCGATTTTTTTTTTTTTTTAAATTTTCACTATACTAGGTCTAGATTAAGATCTAACAATTTTTATGTTGTTTTTTTTGTTTTTTTTTTTTAATAAGAAATAATTCAGCTTCCAACATTACTTTTAAAATGGAATTTTATAAATGTATTTATTATAGATCTAGACCTAAATCACCAAGACCTAAATGTAATACACTTAATTAATAGAGATAGTGTATTGAACTGAACTGTAATGTAAAAGGCATTGGCCTACTATTCAATAAAATGATTTATTTAGATTAGTTTTGTTTAGTTTAAGAATTCTAGACTAGATCTAGATAAATGGATAAGCTGATCGCCTTATATATCTAGACTATTCTAGACTAGATCTAGTAGATTCTATAATCTATGTAGATCAATTATCCTAATTGTCATTATGGGTCTAATCTAGAATCTAGATCTAGATCCTATAGTCCTGCATAAGATAGGCTTAGCTTACCAGGATAAAGTAAAAGTAAGGCAGATCTAGAATCTAGGTTAGATCTAGATCTAGATCTAGAATTCTAGATCTAGCTTCTAGACTAGATCTAGAGATCTAGATTAATTCCATACTTAAATTATTTAAATAGCCTGCTAAATTAATAATAGACTTCTTTTTGCATTAGATTTAGATTTTAAATTAGAAAAATGTAAATAAAGTTAGCAAAAAAAAAAAAACCATCTTTTCCCCCAGCGTTTTGTTATTTTATAAACTAACAAAACACTGGGGAAAAAGATCAATCAAGAACAGTAAATTTTAAAAAGTAGGCGAATTAAAATAATGCTTTAAAAGCCAAATCTGATAATTGAAAAATAAATAAGTAGGCTAATAAAAAGCCAATAATATAGTCCGCAGTAACCACAATAACTAAATTTGTAAAAATTAGATTTGATAAGGATACTAAAACTCGTATTCCTTACCCAAAACTAAACAAACCAAACTAATTACTAATCATTACCATGTTTACTCTGAAATTTTCCCATTGTCAGGATTTGAAATCCATACCTTCATCGGTATTTAGAATTGAGGGGTGAAAATTTACAGAAAAATAATCCAAAGGGAAAGAAAATAAAACACAACACACACTAATATCATCACACTAGCAGTAAACACACGACTGCTCCTTGCACACCAGAAATGAAACGCACAATAGGAATTTCGACTCGTGCTGTTCACTCCACACACACAGCACGAAAACACACTTCGTCGTTCATCGCCGAAAATCTGAAGGATTGTGGGCGGGGCTTAAAGTTTCCCCTCGCGTAGACACTGTTTAATGTTAGTTGACGCACAGTGAATGAGCTATTGAGTGTGAAGAGCTCTTCTTACTTCTTTCTTAATTTACTTTAAAAGATTAAATACGGCGGGATGGCTGGTTCGGTAATGTTAAAGTAAACATCATTGATGTTATACAATTTAAAATGACATTCATTATTAGGAAGATCTGGCACCTGAAATACTTCCTACTAAGACTCTCGTAGTTATCGGGTTTCCGTAGTGTAGTGGTCATCACATCCGCCTAACACGCGGAAGGTCCTGGGTTCAAGCCCCAGCGGAAACATATTTTTTATTGGGCTTTGTTGGTATAAAAACTAGTTACTCAAAGTAATTAGGTCTATCTATCCATATTTACAAAATTGTGTCGATTAACCTTAAACGAAAACACAGCTCATAAACAATGGAGGGTTGTCGATTCGCAGCTTAACGAATATATTTTTTAAAAAAAACCATGTACACAGTAGTTTCAATTTATGGGTATTGGGGGGGGGGGGGGGGGGGGGGGGTGTAATGTTTAAGGTAGCATCAGTAAGAACGTTTTTAAGCTTTAATTTTTTTTAAAGAATACTTTTTTATAAGTTTTATGGTGTAGTCCTACTCTATAATAATTCTATTTTTAAAAAATCGGTAGGACCAGCAGTATAGTATTTATTACCCTTTCGAACCCGGTAGTCCATGTGGCAGATGAAGTAGAGTTCACTTGTTTCTGTGACCTCGGTACATCAATAGATAGTGTGGTCAGCATTTTGCCTAGCTGCTTTTGCTTTTTCTCTTAGATGACTCAGTGACTCAGTATCCGAACGCGAGGCTATCGGGTTAGCAGGCTTATGATCTACCATCCGACCACGCCGTCCCATCTAGTATTTAGTACAGTGTATTTTAAGAATGTGAGCCGATGTCACCGTTAGGATTAGGGTTTAGGATCAGGTTTAGGGCTCAAGGTCAGAGCAAGAACAGCGATATTAACCAACAACAGATTCGATATTTACGATTATCAGTCATAGAACTTAAGAAATAATGTATTCGGTTCTTCTGTATTCGTAAAGAAAATAAAGATAAAGGATTGCCGACTACTACTAATAAAAAAAACAATATCGTAGTTGAAGGTCACGTGACTAATATCCCCCCCCCCCACACACACTGTAATGACGTCCATGTATCGAGCCACGGTAAACCCCCCCCCCCCCCCCCCCAATCCCTCGATAGAAGCTTCTCGCAATTTTTAATCAAAGTGGCAAGCTTTGCAAGCTGATATTCTTTATGTAATCGAGTTACTGCCCCTGATGACAACAATGGTATTAACTCGTCATTCCGCACCCCTTTGTTCTCTCTTTGATCTTTATATTTTTTATATCCCCATTTTTTTTTTACAACATCGAAGACGATACAAATCAAGATTGTGTCCCTTGCCGGTAGTCTCCCGTTTTATAGTCTCCCTTTGCTCCCGATCGGCCGACCCAATCACTGATTTGTCCGCCCTTTGATTGGCTAATCTATGAGATACAATAACAGCTCTATAAAGCCAGTGTTCGCTTAATGCGTGGCTCGCACGAAACAATGGCGATTGTTGCGTTAATAAATGAATATCATATATTTTTTTAATCAACCGCGAGTTCATTTCCGATTGGTAGTCTGATCAGTGTTTTAAAAAACAGAATCTATTTTAGTCTGAAAGATTCTTGGTTTAGATTTAGCAGCTAAGTAGCTTCAGATCTTATAGTAAGGTGCACGTACATTTTGGAACGATGCCAGCCAGGGTTTCTTTCAGATTTTTTTTGTCTTTGAAAAAGGAGGGTAGGGGTGGGACGGGGTGGAGGGGGGGGGGGGCACTTGAAATTTCTTAAGGGGTGGGGTCTTACATTAGTTTTAAGTGTATAGGCAAATTTTCTATTTAAAGTTTTTCTTTTCTATTTCGTGGCGTGGACGTGATCTTGGGTACTGCCAAAAAAAACCCCCTCTGGTAACAATATAATGCAAGATATAAATCTAGTTCTCATATTCTATCAGATCTTTTGCTGCCTGTATTTTGTTTTGTAAGGATTGGTTTGATAGTAGGCTATAAACCCCAACTATCCTAACGGATAAGTAGAAACATTGTGATACATGTTTATCCTTTTCACAGTCATCGGATCATCAACAAACACACAGGACAATACAGTCATTGGATAATTCCTTACAAACACACAGGACAATACAGTCATTGGATAATTCCTTACAAACACACAGGACAATACAGTCATTGGATAATTCCCTTACAAACACACAGGACAATACAGTCATTGGATAATTCCTTACAAACACACAGGACAATACAGTCATTGGATAATTCCTTACAAACACACAGGACAATACAGTCATTGGATAATTCCTTACAAACACACAGGACAATACAGTCATTGGATAATTCCTTACAAACACACAGGACAATACAGTCATTGGATAATTCCTTACAAACACACAGGACAATACAGTCATTGGATAATTCCTTACAAACACACAGGACAATACAGTCATTGGATAATTCCTTACAAACACACAATGACTACACAGACCCCCCCCCCCTCCCCACCATGGCACGACATGGCTGACAAAAACCACTCCGACCCGTTCTAATCCCGTTAAGTCTAATCTGTGTGACGTGTATGTGCCCACCCAGCTCGGCCGTTAATCCGCTGACCACACAATCTCTTCTCCGCGCATGCCGTCGTCATAGCAACCGATAGGACATAACCTTGTTGGCTTTACTCAATAGACCAGGTCCTGAAATACGCCCTGACTTTTGTCCTAATTAATTTACACTGATTAGTAGAACACTTAAGTAGCGAGGTTGACGTGGTATTTCAATGGGCCGTCCGGCAGGGCTTTTTAAATCTTCGCCTTGCTGGTGTATGCTGTACAGTCCAGGCCCTAACCCTAATCCTTACTCTAAAACTGTGATTTCAGACAAGAGTAGATCTGACCAGTGTTTTCTTCAAGACTTATTTCCCTTTGGAGGGAAGGGGGAAGCAATTGAAATATTTTTTTTGGGGGGGGGGGGGGGGGGGACTCAAATTTCAGGAGGGGGGTGATACTGTTAAAAGTATATATTTTCTATATAAATTCTATTTCGTTCGGGGGGGGGGGGGTAGACTCTTCGGGAGGGGGTTAGGGATGGAGGCTTCGAAGAGAATGCCTGGAAGAAACACTGGATCTAACCCTAACCGTAAAGTAAAGCTAACCGTACTAATCCAGGCTCAGACGCTGAACAAGCAGATCATACATTGCTTTTTTTTCTTTAGCTGGGAAATATAATGAAAGCTGGGTTAGCCTAGTGTGTGGGTGTGGGGGGGGGGGGGGGAGTGAGAGTTAGACCCCCACTTGTACATTCTAAATCACAGATGCTTAATGTCAAGTTTCAGCCATTGGCGACATCACGATAATATTGACTTCAGTTTAAAAATTGTTCAAGTAAAAATAAAACATGTCAACGTGCTTAAAATCAATAATAGGTCCATATAAATTGTACAGCCTTAATATATATATATATATATATATATATATATATATATATATATATATATATATATATATATATATATATATAATATATATATATATTATATATATATATATATATATATATATATATATATATATATATATATATATATATATATATGAATGTGTAGAAAATCGACCACCGACCTTATTACAAAATCTTGCCTTCGCCACTGTCCCTTCTACTACCCTCTGACGCCCCTGACTAAGCAACCAACAACAGCGTTTCATAATATTAAAATCAAACAGCAGAAACAAACAGACTCCAAAGGATGGACTTCAATTGTATTTATTTTTTAATGAATGTAATATTTGTTGACTGCATTTTTTAGTTTTTTTGTTTTTTCTTTTTTGTAATTAAAAAACTAAAAAAAAAAACTAAAAAAAAAAAAAAAAATTAAATGTATCAATAAAACGATTTTTTTTTTAAATTTTAGAAAAATAAACCGGGCTTTGATGGTTTGTTTGAAGTAGACGCGTGTTTTGTGTGAGTTGAGCAGTATCCCGCAAGATCAAAGCACCCAGGCCCTGTCATCTCCCATTTGATGTGTACACGTCAGAGGTTCTCAGCTTGTCACACCTTAATGGCTACACGAATCTAAACAATTTTTTTTAAATGAACCACAATGCGGGGAAAAATGTGTCAATATTATTTTTCGAACATTTGTATTTTTTTAAAAAGGCGTTTGTGGTGCTTTATTTATAAAGTACATGCTTTTCGTTTGCTAGCCTACATTATATTTACATCGCCCGCTTCCGGTTGAAAGTTCAGAGGTTAAATGCCGCAGGCTACATATAGAGAAAACGGAAAAGCCCGCTTAGCAAACTCAACGACATTCGTCCTAAAAACATTGTAATGCTTTAAATTTACTTTAAGTTGAAAAAAAAAGTTCAAAGCTTAATTAATTGACAGGCAGGTTCTCTCACCCCCCCCCCCCCCCTCAGCCTTTATAATCGATCGATAGTATCGTTGATACTAAGTTTAATGTTTGAGAATCGAAGAACGATTATTAACGATGGCGTTTGATTAGAAAGTGCAAATGGTCCTTGATGATTAACCATACCAAAATGAAGAGGATATATTACCCCATTCTCGTTTTTCCACCCACATCTATTGAAAAAAAATTCCTCTTTAATTTATTGTTATTTATACTACTCGATTGGTATTTACAATAATCATTGAGACAAACGTTTAGTTTTATTTTTCTAACTTTAACTACCTTAGTCTTAATAATGCAAGTACCAATATTAGCATATAACACCTTTAACAGCTAATACTCATAATCTTTTGATTGAGTCCTACGTAGAACACTGGTAAGATAATTAACCCCCCCCCCCCCTCATCCGCTACAATAATCAATTATATTATTAACGAAAATTAAAAGATTTTAGGATTCCGATTATCGTGACAAATATGATTACAGAAATATGAGCTCTACTTCATCTACCAATCCATGCAGAACGTAAGCTACACTGTACTTTTTTTTTACTTTTCAAGACTCCTCATTAGTCCCCCTTCCACCCCCCCCCCCCCCCCACCTCCCCCGCCGCCACAATCATCAATTATGTTGTTAACGAAAAGAAGACTGCCGCGATGTTAGGATTTCTGATTATAAAGACACGTAATCACAGAAATATAAAACTCTACTTCATCTACCATGCAGACCGTAAGCCACACTGTACTTTTTATTTTTATTTATTTTTCAAGACTCCCTCATTAGTCCCCCTCCCTCCCCCCGTCACCACAATCATCAGTTATATTGTTAAACGAAAATTAAAAGACTGCAATGACATTAAGATTCCGATTATAACGACACACGCAATCACAGAAATATAAAACTCTACTTCATCTACCATGCAGACCGTATTTTAAAAAAATACTTTTCAAGGCTCCTCATTTGTCCACCCCCCCCCCCCCCCTGCCCCCGCCACTACAATCATCAAACAATATTGTTAACGAAAATTAAAAGACTGCAATGACGTTAAGATTCCGATTATAAAGACACACCTGATCACATAAATATAAAACTCAACTTCATCTACCGTAAGCCACACTATACTATTTTACTTTCCAAGACTCCTCATTAGCCCCCCCCCCACCCTCCCCCCCCACCTCATGACATGCAGGCCTGCAATTAAGCCCCGCGCGTGACGACGCCGTCGACCTGGACTTTTACCCAGGGAACCCGTTCCAAAACACGTGGAACTGGCTGGCACTCGAGTTCTGCGACCTGCCGGGCGGCGAGCGGAGCCCCCCACTAATCACAGAGAATCATCAAAGCCAGACCATGCCGTTTGATGGCCTTCACAGACGCCGACATCAAAAGATTTCGTTTTGAGTGCTAAGCGTGCGCGGGGGGAGCCGAAATTGATAGGAAATGAATGGGTAATCTCAGATCGGAGCAAAAATCGATTTTTTTGTGAGTTCGATTTTTTTTTTTATCATTGAGCTAACAAATTAAGTGTTTTTGACCAATTTCGGGACAATTAGACGACACCAGATGGCGCCAGATATCCGAGGGATTGTCAGGCGAGAACCAATCAAATTGAAGAGTCGATTTGTTTTTCTTACCTGTTGGCGCGTCACAAATTGTAGCGTGTTATTTGGAGCGGTCGTTTGGTACGGAGATTAAAAGGTTTGACATCACATACAATGTAAACTTTGATCACTTTATAAAGAATAAGTTAAAGATATTTTTAAAAGGCCCCCGCGTGACGTACATTGTAAACTTTGATTATAAAGAATAAGTTAAAAGATGTTGTCCCTTGTAGAAAACGTTTGTGGACTGTAAAGAGTAACGCCTTTTTATATTTTTAAGCGCATTAAGTATTCGGATTGACGCTTTTTTCTTGTTTCGTATACTATCAGGAATTAGCCTTTTATACTTTACACACAGAGACTTCGCCTTTTGTGCTAATGCGTGGATTGGTAGCCCACCCAAAGATGGAGCCCTTTGAACCCCCCACCCAAAGGTTCGCTTTGTGCAATCTACCATGGATAACGCCTTTGATGGTACCCCCCACCTTTGATGACGGCCTTTGGTGGTACCCCCCATCTTTAATCACGCCTTTGGTGGTATCCCATCTTTAATGACGCCTTTGGTAGTATACCATCTTTGATAACGCCTTTGGTGGTATTCCACCATTGATGACGCCTATGGTAGGACCCCCATCTTTGATAAAGACCATCTCAAAAACGTGGCGTATTACTGCCACTGATTATAAAGCAAGGTTGCTTTAAACCTACCATGATAGACAATTTTGGTTATAACCTAACATGGGTGCCCTTTTTGTAACCTACAGTGGGCACCGCCTTTGGGTGCTTTCTTTGTAAAGCGGGCGCCGGCTTTGTAACCTGCCATGGCTCCCGCTTTTGTAACCCGCCAAAGGAGTTGCCTTTGTAATCCGCCCTTTGGTTGTAACCTACCATGGACGCCGCCTTTGGTTGTAACCTACCATGGGTGCTGCCTTTGGTTGTAACCTACCATGGGTGCTGCCTTTGGTTGTAACCTACCATGGGCGCCGCCTTTGGTTGTAACCTACCATGGGTGTCGTCTTTGGTTGTAACCTACCATGGGCGCCGCCTTTGGTTGTAACCTACCATGGCGCCGCCTTTGGTTGTAACCTACCATGGGTGCTGCCTTTGGTTGTAACCTACCATGGGTGCTGCCTTTATAACCTACCATGGGTGCTGCCTTTGGTTGTAACCTACCATGGGTGCTGCCTTTATAACCTACCATGAGTGCAGCCTTTGGTTGTAACCTACCATGGGTGCCGCCTTTGGTTGTAACCTGCTATGGTTGCAGCCTTTGGTTGTAACCTACCATGGGTGCTGCTTTTATAACCTACCATGGGTGCCGCCTTTGGTTGTAGCCTACCACAGGTGCCGCCTATATTACCTACTACAGGTGATGCATTTATAAGCCATTTGTGCTACCATGAAGGAAGAATTACATTTTACCCTAATGGACGGCAAAGGTCGGGTTGTAGCGTTCACTACAACTGCCCTCAAAGTCTCGAGTTCAGATCCTTAAAACTCGATACGTGAATCCGCCGGGATCTTAAGGGTATCTATTCTCATAGGGAAAGAAAAGGCTACTAGGCAACGAACTGCCCACACTATCCAAATTCATATGTCGAAGTCACAGGTCTGAAAGTGATACTGGTAGTACCCCCCCCCCCCCCCTCAACCCCCACCATCACTGTTGACGACAACCAACAAGAAAGCCAGCTTGACATGACTACCTAGTGCCCCCCCCCCCCCCCACCAGCGACCAAGGGGGGGGGGGGGGTACATCAAAGCGCCCGTGTCTCCAAATCGATCAGCGTTTAATAAATGATGTGTCAAAACCTGTCAGATGTCCCCCCACACCAACTACAAACGCTCGCTTGAAGATGAAAGCACATCAGAGGCTCTCACTGCTTTTCATGTGAGCCCGTGGTAAAAAGGAGAAAGCCGTTTCTGAAACATCGCTGTAAACGGTGTTCAAGTTCCGATTCCAGATCACGGTGTGAGGGACGGAGGGAGGGTGTGAGGGAGGGGGTGTTAGAGAGAAAGAAGAATGTTATCGGGATTCGTTAGAAGATCAAGTTATAATTATTTATACTCTCACTTTCTCTCTTACTCACACGCACGCATGCACGCTTGCTCGCACGCACACACACATTATATATATATATATATATATATATATATATATATATATATATATATATATATATATATATATAAATATATACATATATATATATATATATATATATATATATATATATATATATATATATATATATATATATATTATAGGCCCTACATGTACATATAGCCTATACAGGCCTATACAGGTGCGTATTTTACATAGATTAAAACCCTCTTTAGATAAGACTCCATACTAAAACGTTTCATCATAACATAATAAACTAGAGTAGCTCTAAAAAATAATAAAACTTAGGTTTTTAGTACTTGTATGAGATTTCGACTTTACTGGGGGTAAAACGTAGTTTAGAAAAAAAAATTTTTTTAAAGGAAATTGAGAATTAACTTATCACTTAAAAGTTCTGCTTATGAAATATAATTTAGTCTGGTTTATCTTTAACTCAATCGCTGGACTGCCAACGTTAAAGTATTTTTTTAAAAAATCTATTGTAAATAAAAAATGTGAAATCATAGCCCAACTGTGCAGCACGAAACAAAACAATGGCGTCTGATGTATCTCACGTGAGGTCCCTCCAATCACCATCGGCCGTTAGCAAGTGTTGCAGACGTCAAGTAACACCAGCAGACGTCGAGTTTGTGATGTAAGACCCAGCCGGGTGTTGTGAGCTGAATCAAAGAACAAACAGCTCACTAGACTGGGGTTAATCATCGTCTGCCATTTTCATCATTTGCTCGCGATTTTCTTTGTGCAAATAAAAAAAAAACAATGTGAAAAACAGGAGAGTTTTAAAGACTGAGTTGCATCCTCTGCCATCTCTATCATTTTTTTCTTACCTTTCTTAACATGGGAGTTAAGAAACAACGAGAAAAAAAATTTCTGTAGTTTTTTTTGTTCTTAAATATCTGTTGTTAGGTAGGTCAAATCATTGACTGGCAGAGTTGAAAAGATCTAAGAAATAAGAGATTTGTTTAATGGGAAGTAACCGTGATAAAATGAACCCCAAATTGTGTTTCATCGCTTACCGCGCTTTGTTATTACTCATTTCTCGTTTATCAATATCATCACTTAATTAAAAAAAAAAAAAAATGATAAGAAAACAAATAGGAACCCGAAGAAAATGTCTAAAAGAATCACTGATTTTACTAGACTACATTTTGTAAATCACGTTTGTTGTCCCTTAAGATGTTGCTATTAAAAAAAATATTTCCATTCTTCCTGCACCAAAAAGCGCCACCACAAAACAGTCCCCACACTCACATAAGGGGATGTGAAACACGAAGTGATCTTTAAACCAAAATGAACTCCCAAATTTACTGCCTGCCCCAGGCTTTAGGGTGGAACACCATAAGGGGGTTCTCTGAGGAGAAGATTCTAGAGAAAGAGAAGTCAGTTTTAACCATTGTTTTTTTTTTTAACCCCATCATGTGATAAAGTAACAATGGTTAACTTTTACTTACATTGACTGTGTACATTATTTCTTTTGTATGTTTCTTGTAATAAAGCTAGATCTAGATCTAGAATAATATCAACAACAAACTATTTAGTATTATCACTGTACACTTTATACAGTAATAATTAGTTGTTTAATTATTAAAATTTCGATATTGTTTTAGGGGTCGTCCATAAATGACGTCACACTCGTAAGGGTAGGGGGGGGTCTGTAATTTTGCGACGATGTGTGATGAGGGGGAAGGTGGGGGGGGGGGGGAGAGTTCAGTTGGTGTGACGTCACTTTTTTGCATTATAAAAAAGCAATGTTAGAAAACGAGTTTTAGCCGTTATTCCGCGTTTTAGAAAACGGCTTTAATAAATTGTAATAGGAATAGATTAAAATAATGTTGACAGAATTCTGACAATATTTTGGAAAAATAAAGATGTTTTAAGAAAAGTTCAACAGCAATTTTGAGGGGGGGGGGAAATTGTAGGCTGAGGTGTGACGTCATTTGGGGGGGGGTCTGGCTGTTTGTGACGCCGTGTGACGGAGGGGTGGGGGGGGGGAGGTAAAAATCGTCAAAAAAAAAGCGTGAAGACATTCATGGATGACCCCTTAGGGCGTAGGTGGGGTGAAGATTGGAGTTAAGGTTAGGGTCAGGTCAAGGAATAATTAGAGCTTTGAATGTTAATGAAAGTTATGATATAATAGTGAAGTGTATACGTTTCCCTGTATACGCCCTGAAGTAAAGAGTAAGTAGATTTCATCTATTTCTATGAAGGTATAGTGCGGTCAGCACTTTACCCAGCCATCTTTTCTCTAACCAAAAAAAAGTACTCATCAGAGCTTGGTGGACTCTGAGATTACCTACAGACGAGAGTCCGGGATCCGAACTCGAAATTATTATAACACCAGCCCCCCCCCCCCCCCCCCCCCTCCCCAATCGCCTCATGGAAAGCATTTTCCCTAGTCCTAACGAAATTTTACTCAAACCATCAATATCGCTTTAATAAACATATATATATATATATATATATATATATATATATATATATATATATATATATATATATATATATATATATATATATATATATATATCCCATGGGGGAGGATCTTACCTTTTTTGGACATGGCTGAACGTGGGTTAATTAGGGTGTCACCTAGAGATTTATGGATGGGGGGAACTCTCGACGTGAACCCCCTTTTTCGTGGTCGGGCCAGCCCGTAATGAGAGATGCCACGGACTGGCGCAGGTCGTGAAAGAGACAAAGGGTGGGATGTTATTGTTGATGCTAGCGGGTTACCCCCCCCCCCCCCCCTTCTCACCTGAATCGCCTGGCCTGGTATGTAAATGTAGGGAAAAGCAGACTGGGGACGTATATAGCAGGGGTAAGGTTGACAATAGACGTGACCCAGATTGAACAGGTCTAGATGGAGACAATCAACGAGGCACGTGTAAGAATTAGGTCACATTTACGGACGACGGCATCAATGGGGGTAGGTGTAGAAGACACGTATCTAGTTGGCCTAGGGACCGTAATGGGGGTAGTATATTAGCAGGGTCTGACAATTTAATCAGGTACCCCAGACCTGTTGGCGACATTTAATTAGGTTAGGCTTGAGTGGGACGTGTTGGTGCATAATTAGCCCCACACACTGGACACTCAGAGGTAGACTCACGAGTCGGACACTCAGGGACACTCACACACGGAGACGGACTCGGATAGCTAGGTCTAGAGGAGACAGACATGGGGCGTCTCTGTGAGCTAGTGGACAGCCAAGAGATGCCTGTACTGTAGTAGACCTAGGCTAGTTAGACAGTTAGGGATAAGTAGGGTAGTCGTGCTAAGAACTTTAGTTGTTTGTAGCTATTTGTGTATATTTCTGATCGTTGTACTTCGGTGGCGGGTTAACTTTAAGTGTTGTAATTTGTGGAAATAAATAGAGATTACTGAAGTGGCGTTTATTTATTTTTATTTTTTTCTTCTTGTTTACGATTCCCTGACTAGTTCGAAAGGATTAGAGAAGGGAGTCGTAACAATATATATAACCTTGAATAAAACTAACCGACCCCCTCCCTTTCCACCAGGTATTTGAACCTCCCCTGTTCCAGACCCTACACCCTCGTCCGGTTCAACGATGTACAAAAGAAGGACGTCATATCGGCTGAGCTCCTCGAGCAGTACCCCCAGCTGTCTGCCAAGTGTCAACACTCCACCGCCATTGAACTGGACGAGCTGGCTAAGAGGCTGGTCTGGAAAACCACCAATCAGGATATGTACCTGAACCACTTCCAAATGAAAGAGGTGGGATTTTTTTTTAAAGAATAGCGTTTGGTGTTGTTGGTAAAGATTTGTATTTAAGATTAGTGGTTTTTGTGTTGTAGGGGTTAGAGGTGTTGTGTCGTTATGGTAAGGGTGATGTGGGTGTCAGAATGGTGAGAGGTGTTGTGGGTTTCCTAATATTGAGGGGTGGTGTAGGTGTTGTTAGGGTGAGGGGTGGTGTGGGTGTTGTTAAGGTGAGGAGTGGTGTAGGTGTTGTTAGGGTGAGGGGTGGTGTGGGTGTTGTTAAGGTGAGGAGTGGTGTAGGTGTTGTTATTGTGAGGGGTGGTGTGGGTGTTGTTATTGTGAGGGGTGGTGTGGGTGTGTTGTTAGGGTGAGTAGTGGTGTGGGTGTTATTATGGTAAGGGGTGGTGTGGGTGTTGTTATTGTGAGGGGTGGTGTGGGTGTTGTTATTGTGAGGGGTGGTGTGGGTGTTGTTAAGGTGAGGGGTGGTGTGGGTGTTATTATGGTGAGGGGTGGTGTGGATGTTGTTATGGGTAGTGGTGTTGGGGTATCATTGAGATGAGGGCCGATGTGTGTTTTGTGGTGAGGGGGTTGGTGTGAAAATCTTGTCATGATGGGTGTTGTTGAGGGTGTCATGAAGTTAATATGTGTTGCGGGTGTCGTGAAGGTGAGAGGTGCTGTGGTAAAGCCACCAGCGCGAGAAAAGTTTTGGAGCAGCGTTAAACAGTGTATAATTTTTTTTTTTTAAGTACTTGACAACTATTTGTCACAACCAGAGGCGTAGCGACCCTTCCCGGCGCCCGGGGACAAACTTTCAATTTGGCGCCCCTCTCGGGAGCAAATTTTCGATTTGCACCCCCCCCCCCCAACAAAAAATGCAGCTAAAATGACATTTTAATTTGTTTTTACAACCCATCTTGGCGCCCCCTAGGGCCGGCGCCCGGGGAAATATGTACCCCCCTGCCCCCCCCCCCCCCCCCCCCATCGCTACGCCTCTGGTCACAACGTATAAAATTAACATCTTTATGATTTTAGCGACTTCCCCCCATCACGTACGAGGTCAAGGCCGACCCGCTGCTCAAGAGCCGCATTGAGAAACAGCCCCCCATCTCCGAAGACAAGGCCCCACTGGGGAGCTACAGCAACGATCCAGATCGAGGCTTGTATGAGTGGCGGGAACTGACCGCCCGGCCGGACGCGGGGGTGTGGCAGCCGTTGAAGAGGGTTCCAGTGCTGACGGACGCTGGCACCAGAACCGTCACGCTGCCCAGGTGGTTCATGCTGGTGGGACACGGTCATGTGGTTTAATCACGTGACTTGATCTAGTCACGTGACTGAGTCATTTGAGCTTGTGATCATTATATTAAACTAGGCATGCTGCCCAGCTTCGCTTAGGCTTTCGAAAACATTGAGAATTTGAATGCTTAATTAATTCGCCCGAAGGTCGGTCTACGACCTCAAGAGTTATGAAGAGGTTCCTCCGTGGACATTTTTTTTCGATTTATAGCTCATATAAGGTACCGGTCAGTCGAGGTCAGTTTTGACCCCCACATCGTAGACTTTTCGGCCAACCGGCCCCCGTGTTCTGTCGCACCAAGGCAAGATCATGCCAAATTTGAAGCGCCTGCGGCGCCGGGAAGTGCCCTATCGGACACCCGACAATCTAGATCTAGATCTAGATTCCTAAAAGAATTTTTTTTTTAAGTTTAGCCCGAGCATAATAAAAAAGAATACATTAACCAAGTTGACTTGCTGTGTCTCGAACCCGCACCACCTGCGTGGTTTAATGTACACTAACATCTCCGCTATTTAGGCACCTTATAAAATACGGAGAATGAAACACGTATTTTAAAATCTTAACTTACGCGAATATGCCTATTCTTTCAAATTAATTTTTTATCCCAAATTAGCCAGTTCCAAACAAAGATTTTGTATAAAATAAATAAGTCTTGAAATAGTTTAGTCCTAATATAGAAATTTATTTTTGGAATTGATTTTAGAGAAGTTAGAGTCTAAATCTAGATCTTAGCGTCTACGTCTAGATCTAGTTATTGCGTAGATTTAGATTTAGATTTAGTCTAGATCTAGAATCTCTAGATCTAGAATCCAAATACATAAAATAAATTTTATGAGTTTAGGCCGGAAAAATTGTATTGTATACATTTCATAGTGTACGTAGATCTAAATCAAATTTGAATGAAATAGTTCATTTCTTTTCATTCTTAACACGGCAGATGACGTCATTAGTTAATGTATAAGCAATAGTGACGTCACAGTTTTATGCGTTCTTTTTCACATATATTAATGCTTTTCCGGTTGCATAAATAATACTGTTTCTCTACATTCGAATACGCCTTTAATTTTTATTTTTCTTCTTTAAGTAAAATTGTGGTTATACATTTAAAACATCTAACATATTATTTTCAACAAAAGTCCGTAAAAAGTTCTCCATATACCGCTGCCGATTCTGACGTGATGTCCGGCGAAAATTTTTTGCGGACAGAGAAAGAGAGAGAGAGAGAGAAGAGCGCACATGGCCTTTTATAAATTAGGATTGAGTACTGAATTTATTTATTTTTTAAAAATTACCAGACCTATGTCACCGTTGAAAATAAAAAAAAATGCTTTCATGTTTTCCTTTAATTAAGTTTCTTGTTTTCCTATAATTAAAGACTTCGATACCACGACCCAACATACGAGAAGGAACGCTGGGACTTTATCCGGAACCTTGTCCGACACGATGCTATAGCTTATGGATAGTAAGTGGCTGTTTATGTCTGGATAGTAAGTGGATGTCTATATAGTAAGTGGCTGTTTATGTCTGGATAGTAAGTGGCTGTTTATGTCTGGATAGTAAGTGGCTGTTTATGTCTGGATAGTAAGTGGCTGTTTATGTCTGGATAGTAAGTGGCTGTTTATGTCTGGATAGTAAGTGGCTGTTTATGTCTATTTTATGCCTTAAGTTCCGTACCATCAACACTTTACTTGCTTTAAGTTACGCAGTGGCGTAACTAGGGGGAGTTATTACAGAAGGGCTATGAGTAACCCTTTGTTGTATTTTTCTTAATATAAAATACACGTAATTCAAAACTAGATGATACAATTAATAAAATACTTCAGCAAAGCAGAGGGTAACCAAAAAGTTTAACTACGACCTTTTAACGAATAAAAATTCCCTTTTCGAACCTGTCCGTCCATGGGGAAAGTGAAGTAGAGTTCACCTGTTTCTATGACCTCGGCATATGAAGAGAAAGTGTGGTCAGCACTATGCCCAGCCGCCTTTACTTTTAACGTGAGTTAGGTACCCATCAGAGCTGGGTGAACTCAGGAATGTTCTACTGACTTGTACCCGGATTCAAACTCAAGACCTTTGGATTAGCAGTCTACCGCTCTACCGCTAGGCCAAAATGTCCGCCACAACTAATAAAGACGCAAATATTTTATTTTTAAAAAAATCATCTTCTTCCCTTTGAGCAGCCGTAAAGACAACCCCGGCTACACGGGTCACAAGCAGATGGTGGAGCACATCTCCTCAGACGTGGAGCTTAGGCATGGGGACAAGTCTAATTACCTGACCACATACAACGCTGTTCACAGGTAAGTCTAATTACCTGACCACATACAACGCTGTTCACAGGTAAGTCTAATTACCTGACCACATACAACGCTGTTCACAGGTAAGTCTAATTACCTGACCACATACAACGCTGTTCACAGGTGACTTAACATTACCACATACAACGCTGTTCACATGTGACTAAGTCTAATTACCTGACCACATACAACGCTGTTCACAGGTAACTTAACATTACCACATACAACGCTGTTCACAGGTGACTAAGTCTAATTACCTGACCACATACAACGCTGTTCACAGGTGACTTAACATAACCACATACAACGCTGTTCACAGGTGACTAAGTCTAATTACCTGACCACATACAACGCTGTTCACAGGTGACTTAACATTACCACATACAACGCTGTTCACAGGTAACTTAGTCTAATTACCTGACCACATACAACGCTGTTCACAGGTGACTAAGTCTAATTACCTGACCACATACAACGCTGTTCACAGGTACCTTAACATTACCATATACAACGCTGTTCACAGGTGACTTAGTCTAATTACCTGACCACATACAACGCTGTTCACAGGTGTTTAAGTCTAATTACCTGACCACATACAACGCTGTTCACAGGTGACTAAGTCTAATTACCTGACCACATACAACGTTGTTCACAGGTGACTAAGTCTAATTACCTGACCACATACAAAGCTGTTCACAGGTGACTTAACATTACCACATACAACGCTGATCACAGGTGACTAAGTCTAATTACCTGACCACATACAACGCTGTTCACAGGTGACTAAGTCTAATTACCTGACCACATACAACGTTGTTCACAGGTGACTTAACATTACCACATACAACGCTGTTCACAGGTGACTAAGTCTAATTACCTGACCACATACAACGCTGTTCACAGGTGACTTAACATTACCACATACAACGCTGTTCACAGGTGACTAAGTCTAATTACCTGACCACATACAACGCTGTTCACAGGTGACTAAGTCTAATTACCTGACCACATACAACGCTGTTCACAGGTAACTTAACATTACCACATACAACGCTGTTCACAGGTGACTAAGTCTAATTACCTGACCACATACAACGCTTTTCACAGGTGACTTAACATAACCACATACAACGCTGTTCACAGGTGACTAAGTCTAATTACCTGACCACATACAACGCTGTTCACAGGTGACTTAACATTACCACATACAACGCTGTTTACAGGTAACTTAGTCTAATTACCTGACCACATACAACGCTGTTCACAGGTGACTAAGTCTAATTACCTGACCACATACAACGCTGTTCACAGGTACCTTAACATTACCATATACAACGCTGTTCACAGGTGACTTAGTCTAATTACCTGACCACATACAACGCTGTTCACAGGTGTTTAAGTCTAATTACCTGACCACATACAACGCTGTTCACAGGTGACTAAGTCTAATTACCTGACCACATACAACGTTGTTCACAGGTGACTAAGTCTAATTACCTGACCATATACAAAGCTGTTCACAGGTGACTTAACATTACCACATACAACGCTGATCACAGGTGACTAAGTCTAATTACCTGACCACATACAACGCTGTTCACAGGTGACTAAGTCTAATTACCTGACCACATACAACGCTGTTCACAGGTGACTAAGTCTAATTACCTGACCACATACAACGCTAATCACAGGTGACTTAACATTACCACATACAACGCTGTTCACAGGTGACTAAGTCTAATTACCTGACCACATACAACGCTGTTCACAGGTGACTTAACATTACCACATACAACGCTGTTCACAGGTGACTTAGTCTAATTACCTGACCACATACAACGCTGTTCACAGGTGACTAAGTCTAATTACCTGACCACATACAACGCTGTTCACAGGTGACTAAGTCTAATTACCTGACCACATACAACGCTGTTCACAGGTGACTAAGTCTAATTACCTGACCACATACAACGCTGTTCACAGGTGACTAAGTCTAATTACCTGACCACATACAACGCTGTTCACAGGTGACTTAACATTACCACATACAACGCTGTTCACAGGTGACTAAGTCTAATTACCTGACCACATACAACGCTGTTCACAGGTGACTTAACATTACCACATACAACGCTGTTCACAGGTGACTAAGTCTAATTACCTGACCACATACAACGCTGTTCACAGGTACCTTAACATTACCACATACAACGTTGTTCACAGGTGACTAAGTCTAATTACCTGACCACATACAACGCTTTTCACAGGTGACTTAACATAACCACATACAACGCTGTTCACAGGTGACTAAGTCTAATTACCTGACCACATACAACGCTGTTCACAGGTGACTTAACATTACCACATACAACGCTGTTCACAGGTAACTTAGTCTAATTACCTGACCACATACAACGCTGTTCACAGGTGACTAAGTCTAATTACCTGACCACATACAACGCTGTTCACAGGTACCTTAACATTACCATATACAACGCTGTTCACAGGTGACTTAGTCTAATTACCTGACCACATACAACGCTGTTCACAGGTGTTTAAGTCTAATTACCTGACCACATACAACGCTGTTCACAGGTGACTAAGTCTAATTACCTGACCACATACAACGTTGTTCACAGGTGACTAAGTCTAATTACCTGACCATATACAAAGCTGTTCACAGGTGACTTAACATTACCACATACAACGCTGATCACAGGTGACTAAGTCTAATTACCTGACCACATACAACGCTGTTCACAGGTGACTAAGTCTAATTACCTGACCACATACAACGCTGTTCACAGGTGACTAAGTCTAATTACCTGACCACATACAACGCTGTTCACAGGTGACTTAACATTACCACATACAACGCTGTTCACAGGTGACTAAGTCTAATTACCTGACCACATACAACGCTGTTCACAGGTGACTTAACATTACCACATACAACGCTGTTCACAGGTGACTTAGTCTAATTACCTGACCACATACAACGCTGTTCACAGGTGACTAAGTCTAATTACCTGACCACATACAACGCTGTTCACAGGTGACTAAGTCTAATTACCTGACCACATACAACGCTGTTCACAGGTGACTAAGTCTAATTACCTGACCACATACAACGCTGTTCACAGGTGACTAAGTCTAATTACCTGACCACATACAACGCTGTTCACAGGTGACTTAACATTACCACATACAACGCTGTTCACAGGTGACTAAGTCTAATTACCTGACCACATACAACGCTGTTCACAGGTGACTTAACATTACCACATACAACGCTGTTCACAGGTGACTAAGTCTAATTACCTGACCACATACAACGCTGTTCACAGGTACCTTAACATTACCACATACAACGTTGTTCACAGGTGACTAAGTCTAATTACCTGACCACATACAACGCTGTTCACAGGTGACTAAGTCTAATTACCTGACCACATACAACGCTGTTCACAGGTGACTAAGTCTAATTACCTGACCACATACAACGCTGTTCACAGGTGACTAAGTCTAATTACCTGATCACATACAACGCTGTTCACAGGTGACTAAGTCTAATTACCTGACCACATACAACGCTGTTCACAGGTGACTAAGTCTAATTACCTGACCACATACAACGCTGTTCACAGGTGACTAAGTCTAATTACCTGACCACATACAACGCTGTTCACAGGTGACTAAGTCTAATTACCTGACCACATACAACGCTGTTCACAGGTGACTAAGTCTAATTACCTGACCACATACAACGCTGTTCACAGGTGACTTAACATTACCACATACAACGCTGTTCACAGGTGACTAAGTCTAATTACCTGACCACATACAACGCTGTTCACAGGTGACTAAGTCTAACTACCTGACCACATACAACGCTGTTCACAGGTGACTTAACATTACCACATACAACGCTGTTCACAGGTGACTTAGTCTAATTACCTGACCACATACAACGCTGTTCACAGGTGACTAAGTCTAATTACCTGACCACATACAACGCTGTTCACAGGTGACTAAGTCTAATTACCTGACCACATACAACGCTGTTCACAGGTGACTAAGTCTAATTACCTGACCACATACAACGCTGTTCACAGGTGACTAAGTCTAATTACCTGACCACATACAACGCTGTTCACAGGTGACTTAACATTACCACATACAACGCTGTTCACAGGTGACTAAGTCTAATTACCTGACCACATACAACGCTGTTCACAGGTGACTAAGTCTAACTACCTGACCACATACAACGCTGTTCACAGGTGACTTAACATTACCACATACAACGCTGTTCACAGGTGACCTAGTCTAATTACCTGACCACATACAACGCTGTTCACAGGTGACTAAGTCTAATTACCTGATCACATACAACGCTGTTCACAGGTGACTAAGTCTAATTACCTGACCACATACAACGCTGTTCACAGGTGAATTACCTGACCACATACAACGCTGTTCACAGGTGACTAAGTCTAATTACCTGACCACATACAACGCTGTTCACAGGTACCTTAACATTACCACATACAAAGCTGTTCACAGGTGAATTACCTGACCACATACAAAGCTGTTCACAGGTACCTTAACATTACCACATACAACGTTGTTCACAGGTGACTAAGTCTAATTACCTGACCACATACAACGCTGTTCACAGGTACCTTAACATTACCACATACAAAGCTGTTCACAGGTACCTTAACATTACCACATACAACGCTGTTCACAGGTGACTAAGTCTAATTACCTGACCACATACAACGCTGTTCACAGGTGACTAAGTCTAATTACCTGACCACATACAACGCTGTTCACAGGTGACTAAGTCTAATTACCTGACCACATACAACGCTGATCACAGGTGACTAAGTCTAATTACCTGACCACATACAACGCTGTTCACAGGTGACTAAGTCTAATTACCTGACCACATACAACGCTGCTCACAGGTAACTAGGTCTAATTACCTGATCACATAC